GGGGACCCCAAGGCGTTCCTGGGCCAGCTGAGAGACATAGTCCCTCCAGCGTGTCCTAGGTCTTCCCCGGGGCCTCCTTCTGGTAAGACGTGCCTGGAACACCTCCCCAGGGAGGCGTCCAGGAGGCATCCGGAACAGATGCCCGAGCCACCTCAATTGGTTCCTCTCGACGTGAAGAAGCAGCGGCTCTACTACGAGCTCCTCCCGTGTGACCGAGCTCCTCACCCTATCTACACATCCACTCTGGAGCTCATTTCGACCACTTGTATCCGCGCTCTCGTTCTTTCTTGAATGATGTATTTTTGTATCGTCCTAAATCACAACAGTAGTTTTCTCAGAGGACTTTTGACTTTTCCAACACAGATCAGAGAATCAAACCGTTCAAACACAGGAAATAGAATAATAAAAAACCAAAAAAGTCCATAAGGGACAGAGACCAATGTCCATAACCAAATGTCTCCAGTGTGAGATCAATAAAGTCTATCTTAATGTCCAGGATCATCACCGCAGTCCTTAGACCTCGGCATAAAACACGGAAGTTATGTGTTTTAACAAATGTGTTTCAATCCAGTGCTTCCCAAACCGCGGTCTGCATCCCGGTACAGCCCCTGGATTTTTAGTTTCATTTCTTGCCAATGCAGGAGGGTCTGAGGTCAGTAAGGGTAAAATGACAGTAAAATGACTGTAAAGTGACAGTAACACATATGGTCCGGTCGGCAGAGTTTTGGTGACTCCTCTTGTAAGTTTTGATCTTTGTGCAGCCAGGAGAAGTTGCAAAAAGATCAAAACTTTGTGTAGCCGCGAGTAGTTTATTAGGAGTCCTGATCCGCGGTAAATGGCCCTCCCTGCTCTGGTGGAAGTACAGCCTGGCTCCCAGCTCCGTGTGGGGGCCTCTGCTCTCCCAGACAGATGTTAGGGCCGAGCAGAGCTATCCACTTTCACCGTAATGAGAACTCAGGGGGAGCCAACACACTACACACACACACACACACACACACACACACACACAGACACACACACTACAAGCACACACACACACACACAGACACACACACACTGACGTTATGACTGAAGGGATACCTGCCAGTAACACTCCAAGGTCAGAAATATATAAATAAACCTAGCATGAGGCCGCTCTGTACTTGCAGATTACTAAAAAGCTACACATAAAAAGCCATGAAGTGAAACGGTTAGTGCTAACATTAGCCACACCATCGCCCGCCCGAGCAAAACTAACGTAACTCTGTATTTATGGTCAGCTATTCATAATCTCAATTTAGGATGTGTGCCTGGATTATAGCTACTACTTCAGTCACTGCTCCAGAGTCAGAGCTAACCGTTGGGAGCCAGCTTTCCACATGGAACTGAATCAAAATAATTAATCCCAATCACCGTCTTCAATTCTTGTATCGCTCTAAATCCCTACAGTAGTGATCTCAGAGGACTTTACTAAACCAGAGAATCGCACGTTTATACTTCTTTCCCGCTCCATTTTGAGCTGACAGATTGTAAAAAAGAAATGCATTTGTTTATTGATATTGCAGATATACGACATATGGTGAAATTAGGTCACGTGTTGTTGCTTGGTTGTATATTTATGTTATATATTTGCATGTGTAGGTATACAGTGTAAAGCAACATGTGCAGTATAAGAAGCCATGTAAAGTCAGTAAATGGGAACTAAGGAATGTAAATACTGTATACATTTCTTTTCAAATGAACAAAATCAAATTTGTCACACACAAGAAATAAAACAGAAAACACATTGCTCCATACGTGTAGATAAATGTCCATAAATATATGTCTTACAAAAAAATATCATGTATTTATGCATCTAAAGCCTGGAACAGTCTTCTTGAAAGTGTGAGACAGGCTTCTTCTCTGACAGTTTTGAAATTCAGGGTAAAAACATTTCCATTTATCTGTGGAGCTAATGAAGGATTTTATATTTACTGTTTTTAATGCACTGGGATTATGATTTCAAAGTCTTGTCTGATTGGTTCTTATTTTGTAGGCCTTGTGTATGAACTGTGCTATACAATTAAACTTGCCTTTCCTTGTTTACTACTACCACAAATACTGCCATCACATTGCCACAGCAGATTGACAATGCTGTGAAGATAATGAACTATTTTTCCCTTTGACAGTGACCAAAAAACATAATTAAAATCACAGAGAAAACGACCCATCCCTCGTCTTTCTACCAAACCTGGAAACAGCCGATCTCTGGACATGAGCGTTTCTCTTTTCCGCAGCAAAAACACAGAGATGAGAATTCGATGCATGGATTTACAGCCGGGAATAAGCACTGACCTTCACACAACCCACAGGCTGCGAGTAACATTTGCAGGTGACAGCGAATTCAAATGGAGGGCAGGGGGCAGAGGGAGAGTCCGACTTTAGCTCCAATTATTACTGATTTACTCCTCATTAACTCATCATTAACTCCTCATTAACTCATCATTATGCACTCGCCCGGTTTGTTCTACTCCATGTTTAGTCATAATTAAGTCGTGGTTTGTGTTTTTGACCCATATAGTGGTGTATAGCCACGACAAGAAGTTAGATGTATGTACTGTCCAGAATGAAAGACAGATATGATGCAGTTATGCTGCATAAATACATTTGTAATTCATGTTAAATTATGTTTTAGGAATAAAATACAAGGATGATCTAAAGATGATTGATAAAGAAAGTGTCCGTGGCTTTGGGAATGACTGAAAAGAGAATATCGGAGTCTAAATGACATTGGTGGAGTGGCTGGATGCTCCTTTAGAGGCAGAGGAAGGAGCTCGGAGTAGAGTCGCTGCTTCTCCACGTCGAGAGGAACCAGCTGAGGTGGATTGCTGCCCTCGTGACCCGGCAACAGATAAAGTGGAAGGAGTACTGAAATTTCAATAGACTTTGGCCTGTTACGTTTTTGTATGTGAAATATAAACACATTCATGGATCTAAGTAAGTAAACTTGATGTATGTAATGTGCCTAAGTGAGTCGCTAGCCTTTAGCATTTAGCCTAGCTTTAGCATGTAGCCTGTATTTAGCATGCCACAACATATTTGCTTCAATGACATTTACTAAACATTCCTCTTGCTCCGGCTTCAGTTTCTTGATATTTGGATTGAACCAGAACAAATTATTTTACTATCACATTCTCCATGGTCCAGAGTTTACACATGGTAAGACCAGACGTACATGTAGGAAATGATCATGGACCAGAGTTTACACCTATAAAGTTAGGTACCCGAGCTTTAAGCACAGTGTCCGTCCTTGAGTTGAAGCAGAGGGTAAATGTGAGTAATGGGTTTATAGTTAGTTAATTATTCCTCATTATTTGCAGCGAGGCCCCGGGTTCTCGGACACATTTGCATTTGTTTTGATTCCAGCTCAACTCCGGCGCCTTCAGCTGTTCACTAATAGAGGTTTTTTGTTCGTGTCTTTTGGATGTTGCTTTCCTCGAGCTTCTGTCGGGAAATGTTTGACCTTAAAAATAACAAGAGCTTAAGCATGATTTCTGTGATGGAAACAGAAACACGAACATGGACGGGTTTCTTTAGTGAAGGAAACTGTTCGGCTGCTGACGTTAAAGGAGCAGTGTGTAAACATGTGTCCAAAAGTGGTACTGCAGCCTCTCCCACTCTCCCTGACTCAGGTTGCCAGATATGCAGACGAATCCAGCTGGGACCATAACAGCTGAATAGACAAGAGTTTTGTCAACAACAAATCTATAACTCTCTCTTCTGTTGGTGTTAAAAAACTGCAGAGTCATGTGAATCCTCCGAAGAGCAGTCTCACATTCAGCAGGAACAGTTTTGTGAGATACAGAGTGAGACAGAGAGAGGGAGAGAGACAGAGCGATCCAGAGAGACAGAAAGGGACAGAGAGAGATACCAAGAGAGAGAGAGAGACAGACAGAGAGAGAGAGACAGAGAAATCCAGAGAGAGAGAGAGAGAGAGAGAGAGAGAGAGAGAGAGAGAGAGAAAGAGAGAGAGAGAGAGAGACAGAGAGAGAGAGAGAGAGAGACAGAGAGAGATAGAGAGAGCGAGAGAGAGAGACCACCGGTGCGATAAGACCCAGCTAAGCTTCTGCCCCCGGTAATTACCTTCCGGCGCTAATGCTAAGAGCCGGACGGGCGCCAGATGAAGACGAAAGATTGTGACAACACGACATAAAAGCAGAAAAAGACAGATTGGTTTCATGACACTCAGAGACTCAGGGATTAGACAGAGGCAGGCGCGGCTAAAGGCAGGCGCGGCTAAAGGCAGGCGCGGCTAAAGGCAGGCGCGGCTAAAGGCAGGCGCGGCTAAAGGCAGGCGCGGCTAAAGGCAGGCGCGGCTAAAGGCAGGCGCGGCTAAAGGCAGGGGCGGCTACAGGCAGACGCGGCTACAGGCATGCGCGGCTATAGGCAGGCGCGGCTAAAGGCAGGCGCGGCTACAGGCAGTCGCGGCTAAAGGCAGACGCGGCTAAAGGCAGACGCGGCTACAGGCAGGCGCGGCTACAGGCAGGCGCGGCTATAGGCAGGCGCGGCTAAAGGCAGGCGCGGCTACAGGCAGACGCGGCTAAAGGCAGACGCGGCTAAAGGCAGACGCGGCTACAGGCAGGCGCGGCTATAGGCAGGCGCGGCTATAGGCAGGCGCGGCTAAAGGCAGGCGCGGCTACAGGCAGACGCGGTTAAAGGCAGACGCGGTTAAAGGCAGACGCGGTTAAAGGCAGACGCCGCTACAGGCAGACGCGGCTACAGGCAGACGCGGCTAAAGGCAGACGCGGCTACAGACAGGCGCGGCTATAGGCAGGCGCGGCTATAGGCAGGCGCGGCTAAAGGCAGGCGCGGCTACAAGCAGACGCGGTTAAAGGCAGACGCGGTTAAAGGCAGATGCGGCTACAGGCAGGCGCGGCTATAGGCAGGCGCGGCTATAGGCAGGCGCGGCTATAGGCAGGCGCGGCTAAAGACAGGCGCGGCTACAAGCAGACGCGGTTAAAGGCAGACGCGGTTAAAGGCAGATGCGGCTACAGGCAGACGCGGCTACAGGCAGACGCGGCTACAGGCAGACGCGGCTACAGGCAGACGCGGCTAAAGGCAGGCGCAGCTTCAACACGGGAACGAGGAGAGGTTTGCTATGAACTCATGGAGCAGGGAGTTCACAGCAAACCTCTCCTCGACCCACACACTCCGACACTCATGATGCTATAGACCCTTTTTACGACCACTATATTATGGCTCTTTATGCACCGGAACAAATCATAGGCAGCAGGAGTTTAAGAGAGAGGCGGGTGTTATGTTCAGCAGAATCTAGTATGACAGATGTATGTATGTGTATGTGTATGTAAGTTTGAATGTGCTTAGGGAAAACATATCAGGAGCGAGAAAATACAAACACACAGATTTATTTGAATAGTTTTTATTTTTATTTGAATTTATTTTATTTTATTTGAATGCGTTTTTATTATATTAGAATTTATTTGAATTTTATTAGATTTTTTTTTTAAATCTATTTTTATTTTTATTAATTTGTATTTGTATTTATTCAAAAAAAAAAAGTTTTTTATCGTTTGTTTTGTAAAGAGGCACACCTGTATATTTCAATGTGTTACTTTTATCTTGGAAATGTGTTTTATAAAATGTGTTATATCAATAAAGTGGATTGGACAAAGTGCTGTGGAAAGCACCTCTATCTGGAAGGGGGGGGGGGGGGGGGGGGGGGGGGTCTTTACACAAACACACCTGTTCTCTTCAAACGTTCAGCTGCTGCCGGAAAGAGGCGTCGACCAATCAGGAGCCAGCACAGGACGGTAACAGACGGTAACCGCGGGAGACGGGATCTGACCCAGAGCTGAGGCGGGAGTTTGTTGTGAAGAAGAAGAAGCGGCTGTGAGTTTAGTTCAGTTTGTTGGAGCTCAGAGCTAAACATAAAGTGGAAAAAGGTGCAAAGAAGAGAAAGAGGAGAAAAATACTTGAACGGAACATTATTATTTAGTTTTTTGTTCTGTTATTGTAATGATCTTTTCTTTTCCTGAATTCACACTGAATTGCTTTGTGTGTGTTTATGTTTTCATGTCTGCATTAATGTTTTGGACCCCGTGAAAATGAGATGATTCGTCTAATTTCCTAAAAAAATTTCCTTAATAAAAATAAAGACTATTTTAAAAGACACATGCACTAAACTTTTATGATTTTTATTTTTTTTAAACAATGTGTAACAGTGTTCTTCATAAAACAATAAAATAAAGTGTTTTTGGTCTAAAATGTGTCCATCTCTTTTCCCCATTTTCACAAATCGATTTTTCTTCACTGGATTCAGCAGCTCAGAGAAAAGACGGCGTCTCAGTGACACCTGTTCTATGTCGGTGTGAAAACCCGTCTGAGGGACGCTCCGGACTTTAAAGCAGACACTTCTCTCAAAGACAATATGGATCATTCAAATACAATTCAGAGAGAGAGAGAGGGAAAAGAGAGAGAGAGGAGAGAGAGAGAGAGAGAAAGAGGGAGAGAGAGAGAGAGAGAGAGAGGGAAGAGAGAGAGGGGAGAGAGAGAGAGAAACAGAGAGAAAGAGGGAGACAGAGAGAGACAGAAGGGAGAGAGAGAGAAAGGGAGAGAGAGAAGAGAGAGAGAGAGAGAAGGGAGGGAGGGAGAATGAGGGAAGAGAGAGAGAAGGGAGAGGGAGAGAGAAAGGGAGATGGAGTGAGAGAGAGAGAGGGAAGGGAGAGAGAGAGAAGAGAGAGAGATAGAGAGACAGAGAAAAATGAATGATGAAGAGAGAGACAGCAAGTGAGAGGGAGGGAGACAGAGGAAGAGAGAATGAAAGAGAGGAGAGAGAGAAGGAGGAAGAGAGAGAGAGAGAAGTGGAGGAGGCACTACACACTGAGTCAGGACTAAACATGAAGCAGCCTTTTTCAGCTTCTTCCACAAAATGTGAGACAGGTTCATGCTACAATAGTTCTATGTCTCTGTGTCTCCAACTGAAGGATCCTGAACTGAGTAAGTTTTATCGCCGTATTCTAATATTTCCTTTTCAAATGTGCGTTGGTTCAGTACTTTGACTAGCCTTGTCTACAAACTGTGCCACACAAAAAAAGAGCCTTGCCACGGGGCACAAAAACAGTATATATAAACTCTGTCCCGTTAGCATCCGCATTAGCTTCTGCGCTGCACTCAATCCTCTTCATCATTTCCTAATTCCACCTGCTCCATTCTTGAAACGCTGCGCCACAATCATCCGCTCAAACACTGTAATTTCCTGGGCGTCATTGTCACATAATAGATAGCGGCATTAGCATTATCTCCTTGTGTAGAGCAGAGCGCGGCTTATGGCGGTCGTTAGCTAGCGCCTCACTTTGCTGCTGTTTTCCTGGTTCCACGTGTCAGTCATCAATCAGCGCCGGGTCTTATCGGGACCGCGGCGCTCGGCCCGACTCCCCTGACGTGTTCCGTGTTATCGGTGCGACCGCCGTATCCCTGCATCCTTGTTTATGCAAATGCAGCCAGGAGATAATGGAGGCTTTCTCCCTTCAGCACCATGGAGAGCGCACGGCCAGGAGAGGCGATGGAAGCTACACTAAATCACAGTTTTAGAAAGGTTGCGATTAGATATTATACGTTTTTGATTGTTTTGTTTTTATTATCAAATACTGTGCTGTGCTAATGCGTCCATAGGGATTTTTATTTTATTTTATTTTATTAGTTACAGACGACAAAACAGACAAACACATCGACATTCAGCAAGAACAAAAAGTACAACCCCAAACAGAACAAACACAACAAAGACAAGAAGACAATACAAAACAAATAATTACACAAGATAATAATAAATAAATAAACAGAATAGAGTGGGTCTATAGTGTTTGCCGAATGTGGAGGAAGCCGATTCGATTATACATGTAAGTTGGAGCCTTATGAGTTTTATTCTGACAGGGTTAGCTAGGGATGCTAATCTGGTTGCTACGGGAAGCTGTAGTTTCCCACCAAAAATGAAGGCATTGCAACTGTCAATCCAAAGACTAACATAAAAACACCACGATCACAGAGGACATAAAACCAACACATCCATCCATCCATCTTCTACCCTTTAATCCATTTCTGGGTCAGGGGGGTGGCAGTCAGAGATGCCACCCAAGTCTCATAGCACCAGCCCCTCACTGACCCTCTGCAGGTGGTGAGTCCACAGGAGGACGGCTGCTCTCTGAGTGTGAGCATAGCCTTGATCTTTCAGTGGGGGCTTTGGGCAAAGTGGGGTTAAGTGTCTTGCCCAAGGACACAACGACAGCAGTCATCAGTGGGAGTCGGTGGAGAAGGTGTAGAGGTGGGAATTGAACCCACAACCTTCAGGCCTGAAGGTCAATGCTCTACCAACTGAGCTACTGAAAACCAACACAACCCCTTTTTATTTCATTAATATTGTGATTTAAACCGTTACTGAAGAGATTACTCGTAAGCAGCCGGAGAGAGTTGGAGCAAAACTTTGTCCATAAATGCTTCCCTTTTGGATTAAATTAACAAGCAGTATTTTTGTCCGTTAAGTTATAAACATATAGACATAATAAACATAAGTAGAAAGTCTGAGGTTTAGGAAGCCTCATACAAGGATGTGGATTGTAATCTGTGCTTTTAGATTCATAAATAAGCGGTTTAAAACATTTTGTGTACAAACCAAAATGGGGCGAACGGTCAAGGATTAAGGGCCATCATTTACACACATTTTTGTTTTTTTGGTTTTGTCCTTGTTTCTTTTGCTTGTTGTTAATTGTTGGGCTTATCTTTCTGTTTGTCTTGGTTTTGATTGTCCTTAAATAGAAAAAAATAACAGAAATAATGGACAATCCATCTTTGACGTCTGATACCGTCATTTTGAGTTTGTGAGACGATACCAGAGCAAGGACTGGAAATAGAATATTCCTTTCCTCAAAAAACAGACAAAAAACTAATTTGGATCCTAGTTTTGACTTTGTTTTCTTCTGCAAAGTCACGAAATAATAACTTTTTTAACTGTGACTTTCTGTGTTAAAAAAAGACAATAAATAATTAGCGATGACATCCAAACAATCCATTTTTGTATCTAGATATCATCATTTCTGCCACAATCTCTCTGAAAGGCAATCTCTCTGTACCACGGCTGCTTCTTGCTGTTTTGCTGAGTGGTATTGTCTCATTTCAGCACCAAGGACAGCGCCCAGGCCTTTTCAACCAGCGCATAATTTGTCTCTTGTCATGAAAATTTCAGTCTGTCTCAAGGAGAATAGAAAACAGCGACATGAAAACAACAATGGAGCTTTCAGTGTCTTTACAGTAATTCAGAACGCATCCCGGCAAATGAGGCGTAATGTGGAGAGACGAGCCGGACAGAAGCTTTTCCCCCGAGTGACTTTTTAGCGATGGGAAAGTAATGCGTCTATAATCAAAGGAGATATCTGAGGGAGGAAGAAATGTCTGTCCATGATTGAAGCTAAAATAATATGGGAGGAAAAAAAAGGAGAAGTGCATCTGCTGAGTCAAATTAGTCCAAAAGTACAAAGCAAAGTACGGCTCTCGGTCAGTTTTTCCTTTCATTTTATCAAGAAGATTGTTTTGTTGATACTTGCAGGAAATTTTGAAGACAGATATTTATTTTGGGATAAGAACGGGAAGGATTGGACACAGCTCAAGTTAACAATAGTCATTTTAAAGCAGATGAGAAGCAACGGACACTGCAGGACGTGAAGAACATCAAAGACCGAACAATGAAAGTAAATAATACTTCAAGATGTATTTATTAAAACACACAGGACATGGAAGTACTCTGGTCAAAACAGTTAGAATATAATACATAATGTTGGCTCAGTACTGGGTCCAATCTCTACTTCAGTGGAACAAGCTGTAGTTGGAGATTAGTAAAAGCCGTGATAACAGCAGTAGTAGTAGTAGTAGACATAGTAATAGTGGTAGTACACATGGTAGTAGTGGTAGTGGTAGTAGTAGACATAGTAGTAGTAGTAGTAGTAGTAGACATAGTAGTAGTAGACATAGTAGTAGTAGTAGTAGTAGTAGTAGACATAGTAGTAGTAGACATAGTATTAGTAGACATAGTAGTAGTAGACATAGTAGTAGTAGTAGTAGTAGTAGTAGTAGTAGACATAGTAGTAGTAGACATAGTAGTAGTAGTAGTAGTAGACATAGTAGTAGTAGACATAGTAGTAGTAGTAGTAGACATAGTATTAGTAGACATAGTAGTAGTAGTAGTAGTAGACATAGTAGTAGTAGACATAGTAGTAGTAGTAGACATAGTAGTAGTAGTAGTAGTAGACATAGTAGCAGTAGACATAGTAGTAGTAGTTGTAGTAGCAGTAGTAGTAGTAGACATAGTACTAGTAGTAGCAGTAAACATAGTAGTAGTAGTAGTAGTAGACATAGTAATAGTATTAGTAGTAGTAGTAGACATAGTTGTAGTAGATATAGTAATAGTACTAGTATTAGTAGTAGTAGTAGTAGACATAGTTGTAGTAGATATAGTAATAGTACTAGTATTAGTAGTAGTAGTAGTAGACGTGGACGTAGTAGTAAGAGCAGTATTTTAGCAGTAGTAGTAGTGGTAGTAGTATTTTAGTATTAGTAGAAGAAGCAGTAGAAATAGTATTTAGTAGTAGTAGTAGGAGTGGGCGTAGTATTTTAATAGTAGTAGTAGAAGAAATAGTATTTAGTAGTAGTAGTAGGAGTGGGCGTAGTATTTTAATAGTAGTAGTAGAAGAAATAGTAGTAGGTTTATTTGTACATCACAGTTCATACACAATGGAACTCAAAGTGCTGAACAAGACATGTCAGAGAGGAAGCCTGTCTCACACTTTCAGGAAGACTGTTCCAGATTTTA